TCTCTCATTCCAAATCTCTCAAATCTCCCAAATCCCAAATCTCCCAAATCCCAAATCTCCCAAATCCCAAATCTCCCAAATCCCAAATCTCCCAAATCCCAAATCTCCCAAATCCCAAATCTCCCAAATCCCAAATCTCCCAAATCCCAAATCTCCCAAATCCCAAATCTCCCAAATCCCAAATCTCCCAAATCCCAAATCTCCCAAGTTCCAAATCTCCCAAATCCCAAATCTCTCAAATACCAAATCTCCCAAGTTCCAAATCTCCCAAATTCCAAATCTCCCAAATCCCAAATCTCCCAAATCCCAAATCTCCCAAATCCCAAATCTCCCAAATCCCAAATCTCCCAAATCCCAAATCTCCCAAATCCCAAATCTCCCAAATCCCAAATCTCCCAAATCCCAAATTTCCCAAAAACCCCAAAACCCCCAAATGCCCAAATCCTTAAACACCCCAATCCCCAAAACCCCCAAACCCCTAAATCCCCAAATCCCAATAACATCCACCTCTATCACCACCACCCTTAAACTACCCAAAACGTTTGTTTTAACCATCCCCATCACGTTCACCAAAAGTATACCTAAAATTTGTCCCGAATCATTTTCTCCTTTTATTGTCTCACCGGTTGTAATATAGAATCGTAAGCAGCGCGAAATGGTCGAACAGGGATGGTTTACGATCGGAAACCGGCATGGCACCGCGCCGCCCTTTTGTTCGCCGCATCACGAAACGTGGGACTTACAAATTGGAATACAACGGGCCAAGAGTTAGGAGAATCGTTTCACGCTTCGCGGGGGCGCCAAGTGGAAGGCAAACACCGATAAAAACTGCATGAATAAAGCACTAATGGAAGTTCTATGGACGGGGAATAAACATCGAAGAAGAAGACTACGGTCTGCGAACATGAGTGTGGAGAGGCACAGGTGGTGACAACGTGGATCCCTGTTTTTCCTGCTCCTTTATTCTTTTCGACTTATACTAATCGTTCATACCCTTTTGCTGTTCTTCAAACAGATTTTTTTCGATACTTCTTCTGATTTTGAATGGGTAAAATCTTTTTCAAAAATCAATTTTCTGTAAACAGGAAGTAAATGGACCTCTCTAATGAGTATGATGTTTGAATTTATTTCAATTTTGTGGACGTTCATTTTTCAAAAATCAATTTTCTTTAAAAATAAACTAAATGAACCTCTTTGATGACTATGATATTTGAATTTATTTCAATTTTGTAGACGTT